GATCCTTATTATAAGGTACCCTAATTCTCGGACACTCCCATATACTCTCCCAAGTATTGACAGGTTCTCATTCTGCGACGAGCGCCGGCTTCGCCTGTGAAAAGATCTTCAACCTTAAGGGCGACATGATCCTTAAAAGTACCCGTAGCCCGCTAAGTAGTTCTTTTTTCATGGTTTATATTTAGAACCCTATAAGGTAATCCCCAAAATGGAACTACTTAGGGGCCTACGGGTAAGTCATATATCCCTAAGCCCTAAAGCCAAAGTCGTCCTTAAGGAACCGGTCCGTGTACTCACATGGTAGGTTTCAGGTCGCTCCCTAAGAAGTCTGATCCCCCAAACCCTCGAAAATGGTAGGTGATGATCCCGTTATGATTTCGGAATCATACTGTTGATGATATGGGTCCTGCAGTACCTTAAGGACCCTAAACTATGGGAATTATGGTATAGTCCTTCTTACCGGTAATGCAGGATTTATATCATCAACCGCAGGGTATAGCCCTTCAAACCAGTATTGTTTTTGGATTCGGGATTTCCCTAGCTGCATATGTCTGAAACCCCGAACCACAACCTTCAACTGTAAGACCCTCTAAACACGTGTGCTGCTGCAACTGGTCCCCTTATTAGGGGCTGCCAGATAGGGACATAGGGTTTTGGGCTTTAGGGTTTAGGGCTTGAGGCTTGGGGTTTTATTTGAGGGAGCGAGGGCTTAAGAGATTCATCCTTAGCAACAACAGTAGCCCAAAAGCCTCATCTATAACAGGGTCTTTGGGCCCCGAAGCCTTAAAATATGAGTCCTTTGAAGGCTTGAGGGATTTTTAGGGGTTGGAGACTTGGGCGTCTGCACTCCGTGGAGTTTTGATGTACTTGATTCACGTGTCCAACTGCAGCACGTAGATAACTGGGTTCTGGAGTACCATACTTGAATACTTTTTTTGGACCTGTTCCTGAAAGGAACCATTATAAAATAAAAGTCTATAGTTTTTTTCTCCCTGGTTACTTCAAAGTCCAGATAATCACGTTGTCGTTCTAACTCTTCATGGAGGGGCTTGTGGCCTTTTGGGGTTTCTGCTGGGCCTGCCAGTCTGAGAGTCGACAGAGTGTCTGGAGCTTAATATATGGGGGCCTTACTAATTCGATTAGGGTTCCTTTCTAAAGGGACCCTCAAATTAAAGGGTTTATAAGGGTTTATGGTTTTGGGTTTAGGGTTTAGGGGATAATAGTCTGGAGCTTAGTATACTTAAAGGCTCATGGGACTTAGTAAGTATGGTTATAAGCACCTTAATTGGGGTTATAAGTAATTCTAAGTATAGTTACCTTGTTTATAACCCTAGTTACTAAGTCCCATGATCCTTTAAGTGGGGGCCTGAATAATTGGAATAGAGGGATCCTTAAAGGGTTCCTTTAAAGGGTTCTATAAGGGATCTACTGTAAGAGGGTTGTGTAATGTAGGGGCCTTAATTAATAATTGGAATAGGGTTCCTTTAAAGGGATCCTTAAAGGGTTCCTTTAAAGGGTTCTATAAGGGATCTGCTATAAGAGGGTTGTATAGTATAGGGGCCTGAATAATTAGAATAGAGTTTGGGGTTTCATATTATACTATAATTATGATAAGGAACACCCCCAAAACCCTATTCTAAATATTAAGGCCCCTACATTACCCAGTGCCAAGTAACTTTACGGGGAACCTCCCAAGACCCTCAAATTCGAGTAGGTGGCTGCGGGTTTAGGGTTTAGGGTTGAGGGGTGCTGTAGTAGCTATCTCTTGGTTCGAAAATAGGGCAGGGTCAAGACAGGCTTGTCATACAATAACCCCCAAAGCACAAAATAGCTCGCTGTTGTACGGTCCTTGAGGCCCAGAGCGGAGTCCTTACAGCACTAGGGTAACAGGAAATCGGGGAACCAACAAAGGGTTCAGGGTTTACGATTTTGGGGGGTAGGGCCTTAAGGCCAAGTCCTGAAGCATTATAAACTTAAGCCAGAGAATCGCTTTAAACTTACAGCCTGAACCATGAACCTTAGCCCCTAACCCTAAACCATACCTTCAGGAAGTTCTGCCCCTATGAGGTTACGAAAGGAACTCAAAGAAGATTCTTTCCTCCTTTCAGGTATAGCACCTTTGCTGCTCGAAGAGTGCCGTACATACCTGAAAATGCTGATGAAAATCCGCTAAAACTCTGCTATGCACCTGTAGGGATTAAACAAAAACTCCATGTTCTGGCTTTCCATTCTCTTCACACATCCACACTCATCAAAATTATCGTTCTCTTCGCTCACCAGCAGAAAGAACGATACCGTGCAAGTATGCGAAGGCGCGAAGATAATGGGCAACTGCCAAACATAAAGAGGTTTTTTGCTGGCCCCCATTCTCTTCACACATTCACGCTCTTCAAAAATATCGTTCTCTTCACCCACAGACAGAAAGAACGACTCCGGCAATGTATGTGAAGAGCCTGAGAGAATGGGAGGGTGACCGCTAGAAAAACACCCTAAAGCCTAAGCCCCAAGAACAAACCCTAAACCCGAAACCCTATAAACCCTAAACTCCAAGAACCACCCAAAACCCACCAAAAAACCACTTGTAAACCTCAGGAAGGGCCACTGGCCCGAAGGTGGCAGCCGCGACAGCGCGCACCCAAACAGCCTGGGCCACGAAGGCTGGGCCTGCGATTTTCGTTAAGGGGGGGCGGTTCCTCTAAGGGTTCCCCCAAGGGTCCTTTAAGTTCCTTTAAAGGGTTCTTCTAAGGTCCTGTAAGGGTTCCTTTGAAGGGTTCCTCTAAGCCTTGGCATCAAAATAGCCCAAAAAGCCTTTTATTTTAAACGCTGCGCGTCGTC